GAGGATTTTTCCTGGGAAATGCAAGATTTCCAGGCAAGACACTGTCAAAAACGACCACATTTTTATTTTAAAAATCACTCCAGTCCCCTAAAGAGCTGCAGGATGTGGATTGTGCCTGGAGAACATCCTGCCCACAGGGCTGGGAGAGGTGGTGGGAACTGGGACTTGCTCCTGGAACAATTCCAGCCTCATTTATCCCATTCCAACAGAACGACCTGACCGGCCCCGGGACTTGGAGCTGACGGATCTGGCCGAGAGGAGCGTGCGGCTGACGTGGATCCCTGGCGATGACAACAACAGCCCCATCACAGGTCTGTCCCCTGTCCCCAAAACCCCCTGTGACGGCAAATCCCATCCAAACCCTCCACCCACCTCTTCCTGCTCTTCCCAGACTACATTGTCCAGTTTGAGGAGGACCGCTTCCAGCCGGGAATGTGGCACAACCACTCCAGGTATCCCGGGAGCGTCAACTCGGCCGTGCTGAGCCTGTCGCCGTACGTGAATTACCAATTCCGCGTGATCGCCGTCAACGACGTGGGCAGCAGCGTGCCCAGCCTGCCCTCCGAGCGCTACCAGACCAACGGGGCACGTGAGTTTTTCCCAGGTTTATTTTGTCCTTGGAATCCACCACTCTCCACGGAGGCTCTTCCCTCGATCCCAGGAATAGGTTGGCAAAGGGCGGCTGTGAACACAAAATAACTTACAGGAGCAGGTTAGGTGTAAAAGGAGAGAAAAAGAACTTTAAAAAACAAACTTTATCCTCTGACTCTATATACGACAGTGAAAATGGCAGTGGGTTGGAGGGTGAAACTGTCGCCTCTCCAACCACAGTGGTCAAACCAACAGTCCATCAATTCTCTCCACTTAAAAAGAAGAATGTAAAACAATCAATATTTACGTGAAAATGTGCGAGAAACTCAGTTGAAATATGTAAATAGCAGAAGGTATAGGAAATTTTAGAAAAACTTTTAAAACTCTCAAAAGAACAGTGAAAATGGCAGTGGGTTGGAGGATGAAACTGTCGCCTCTCCAACCATAAAAAGAAGAATGTAAAACAATCAATATTTACATGAAAATGTGCGAGAAACTCAGTTGAAATATGTAAATAGCAGAAGGTATAGGAACTTTTAGAAAAACTTTTAAAACTCTCAAAAGAACAGGGTGACAGGCGTCGGGGGAATTTTCTGTATGGAATTCTCAAGCCTGTGGGTCATGTCCTTCAGGGCAGCAAAACGCAGAGGTTCATACAGAAATCACTCATTTATTATAGAAAAAACTGGTTTTCCTTCTTTTCCCTAAAGGGAAGATTCCTAAAGGAATTTTTCCAGTCCTTTCAGACTACAGGAAGCTCAGAAATCTGTAGGAAAATCAGGCTCAAGTGCAAATATTGTTAATTATTGGCTCCTGTTAAAGCTGTGGGGGTGGCGAAGCCCTGGCACAGATTATCCAGAAAAAACGTGGGTGCCCCTGGATCCCTGGAAGTGTCCAAGGCCAGGTTTGATGGGGCTTGGAGCAGCCTGGGATAGGGAAATGTGAAATTGGGTGATTTTAAGATCCCTTCCCACCCAAATTCCGCGACAGAAGGACAAAACAATCTCCAATCCACAACCAAGACTTGAGTTTGTCCGCCCAATGCTTTGTCATGGAACATTTGGGAAAATTCCGCGTGGGGAATTCACAGGAATCTCAGCAGTCCTGCTGCAATTCCTTCCTTTACCCATTCCAGGGCGATTGTTGGAGGATCTGCTGGCATCTAGTGTTGGCTCCCAGCAGTGCCCGCCGTGTTTCAAAGTGACAAACTCTGCTCCCTCCACAATGGTTTCCTTTCAAAGATTTAGGACATTTAGGGGACAAAAAAAAGCCTCCAAAATAAACGTCCTGGTTTTCCAGAGGACTGAGAGTCTTGTGTCCCATTAACCTGAATGGGAACTTCTGGAAAAATCAGGCCATTAACTTCTGCCTTGGAAGGACTTTCGGCTGGCAGGGTTTTAACCCCTCAGTGGTGGTTTTTTGACATTGAAAAATTCATTGTTTCGGTTTTCAATGTGAATTTCAGGTCCTGAAATAAATCCAACGGGAGTTCAAGGGGCAGGGACCCAAAAAAACAACATGGAGATAACGTGGACCGTGAGTTCTTCTTGGATGCCCTTTGGGATGGAGTTGTGGGATGAGGAGGGAATGGGTTCAGAGTGTCGGAGGGCAGGGATAGGTGGGATATTGGGAATAAATCCTTCATTGGGAGGGTGGAGAGAGGCTGGGATGGAATTCCCAGAAAATCCATGGCTGTTCCATGCCTGGAAGTGTCCCAGGCCAGGTTGGAGCAACCTGGAATCGTGGAAGGTGTCCCTGCTCATGGGGGTGGAGTGGAATCGGATTTCACGTCCCTCCCAACCCAAACCACTCCAGGATTCCATGAAATAAAAAGCAGAAGGTACAAGAAAGTTTTTTGTGCTGTAGTAAAAAGAATAATTTAAAAAATTGAAAATGAAATAATTCAAAGATGTGGCACCCAAAGATGTCGGATTCCAGACTCAGCTTCCCGAGGATGCCCCGAAGTCGAGTCCTTGAGCAGCTCAGAGGATTTACGGGGCTGCTCCTGCTTTGCTCCCTGCACCAGCAGGTGTCAGCCAGAAATCAGGGATGAGCCGTGGGGAGGGCTGGAATGACAGCGGGAATAGAGGCTGGATCATGGGGATAGTAAATATGGAATGTGTATTGTATAATTCGATATTATGCACATATTTAATTTATTTGATGTAATATATAGATAAGGAGTCTGGGCTACTGGAAGTGTCTCTGCTCATGGAAGGGGCTTGGAATTTAAATTCCTTTCAACCCAAACCCTTCCAGGAATAAAATCTTGGATTTTGTGAATAAAATTTCCCAATCCTGCCATGGTTCTGGAGGGCAAGAACTCATTCCGCCTCTCCCTGGGAGCACAACCTCGCCTTCCTCTGGGATTTGCTGACGGAGCCTGGAGGACAACCCCACTGCTGAGCAGAACTTTGGGATCTCCTTGGCGGAAAAATCCGATTTTTTTTTTTTTTTCTCCTCCTCCTCCTCACTTTCCCTTCTCTGTTTCGCTCCACTGAAGCCTCTGAACGCAACTCAGGCTTATGGGCCCAACCTCAGGTACATCGTGAGGTGGCGGCGGCGGGACCCCCGCGGGAGCTGGTACAACGAGACCGTGCGGGGCGCGCGGCACGTGGTGTGGAACACCCCCATCTACGTCCCCTACGAGATCAAGGTGCAGGCCGAGAACGACTTCGGCAGAGCCCCGGAGCCCGACACCTTCATCGGATACTCCGGGGAGGATTGTGAGTATTCCCACGGCTGCAGGTGGGATTTCGGGGATGGCCCCATCCAAGGGCAAGGAGTGCCCGGGCAAAAATTTGGGATAAAAATCCACTTTCAGTTTGGACAAAGTTTGGAGGACCTGGACAGTGGAAGATGTCCTTGTCCATGGCCACCTGGGCTATGGAAGTTCTCCCTGACCCTGGCCACCAGGGCTGTGGGAGATCTCACTGTCCATGGCCACCAGGGCTGTAGAAGATCTCACTGTCCATGGCCACTTGGGCTGTGGGAGATCTCACTGTCCGTGGCCACTTGGGCTATGAAAGATCTCGCTGTCAGTGGCCACTTGGGCTGTGGAAGATCTCACTGTCCATGGCCACCTGGGCTGTGGAAGATCTCACTGTCCGTGGCCACTTGGGCTATGAAAGGTCTCACTGTCAGTGGCCACCTGGGCTCTGGAAGATGTCCCTGTCCATGGCCACCAGGGCTATGGAAGTTCTCCCTGCCCCTGGCCACCTGGGCTGTAGAAGATCTCACTGTCCATGGTCACCTGGGCTATGAAAGATCTCTCTGTCAGTGGCCACCTGGGCTGTGGGAGATGTTCCTGGCCATGGCCACCTGGGCTATGAAAGGTCTCACTGTCAGTGGCCACCTGGGCTCTGGAAGATGTCCCTGTCCATGGCCACCTTGGCTGTAGAAAATCTCACTGTCCATGGCCACCTGGGCTATGGAAGTTCTCCCTGACCCTGGCCACCTGGGCTGTAGAAAATCTCACTGTCCATGGCCACCGGGGCTGTAGAAGATCTCACTGTCCATGGCCACCTTGGCTGTAGAAAATCTCACTGTCCATGGCCACCTGGGCTGTGGAAGTTCTCCCTGACCCTGGCCACCTGGGCTGTAGAAAATCTCACTGTCCATGGCCACCTGGGCTATGAAAGATCTCGCTGTCAGTGGCCACCTGGGCTCTGGGGGGTGTCTCTGTCCATGGGCCTGGACGAGTGTAAGGTCCCTTCTTACCCAAACCATTCCTGAATTGTGGAAACCACCAAAATTCCACTCCAGGTCACCTCTGGCCATGTCCCAACAAGTGGCAGAAATTTTTCCGCTCTAACACCTGCAGAGCATCGAGATCACCTCAAATTAAAAGTTCTACAACAGCCCTAAAATTCCTGAATCCATCCTGGCCTGGATTTTTGTGATAAAACTCCACTTGGTTTCCTGTTTAGGCTCAGCCTATCTTTCCTTAATCCCCTGCCATGACCACACAGGACAACTCCCAGCGGCTTTAATTCCCTTTCCATCTTTGGGCTGCTGGGATCACCTCCTGTGCTTGTAACTTCCACGACTCTCGACTTCCATTATCCCGATCCCACTGGGATAACTGGGGTTTGTTCCCAGCTGCTGGATTTTTAAAGGAATTTCTGTGACTTTGTGGAGTCAGGGAGTCCCTGGCTGTGGGACTCAGGGATTTTTCAAGAAGGAAGGTGGATGAGGCAGGAGATTCCAGGTTTGAAGCCAAGGGGCACAAACAGAGCACGGAAATTGGAAGGAAAAACTGGAATTTTGGCGTTGGGATGGCACAGACCAACACCTCCTCCAGCTGGGCATCCCCTAGAGGAGACAGGGCAAGGAAAATGAGGTGAAAAAGTGGGAATCAGGGGAAGAGAAAGCACTGGAAGAAAACTGGACTCAGTTCAGAGAATGTTACTGGGAAAGATCCATTTTCTCTGCCCTTCCAGATTTTTTTTTGTTATTTTTTTTCATTTCTCTTGGAAATTCCTGCAATAATTTGGAGGTTTGGGATGATCTGGATGAGCCTCCAAGTGTGTGTGTGTTGTATGGAGGCAAAGCAGGGAGAGCAGAGATTCTCCTGCCTCTGTTTGAGGGTTGGGATGGGTCAAAAATCCCCAAAATCCACAAAAACTGTCCCCAAAATAGTCAGATCTGAGCTGCTTCACTCCAGATCTCCCCACAGAGCAGAAGCTGTAGAAACGAGGTAAAATCCCAGCTGGATCAACAGCAAATTGACCAAGTTATGATTAAAAATATGTAAATTAGGGGTTTTTTTGGTTCTTTGGGGTCTAACTTTGGGACAGGTGAGGAAGGAGAGGGTTGGATGTGCTGGGATCCCTCACCTGGAGAGCGAGGTGAGCCAGACCCTTCCCTGCAGCAGGAATTTCCACGTTTAGCTGGATCAGGAATGTTCTCCTGCTGGCTGGAGGTGTGAAATCGGATTTATTTTCCTCCCACGGAATAGGGCGCAGCCATCGTGGGGACGCTGCTAGCAGGATTTGAGATGGGAAAAGCACAGCGGGGGGTGTCCAGCTGTCCAGCTGTCCGTCTGTCCGAGCTCCAGGGTCATTCCAGGTTCCTAACAACCTTTATCCCCGCCTGCCCAGATCCCAAGGCTGCGCCCACGGATGTCAGGATCAGAGTCTTAAACAGCACTGCCATAGCTCTGACCTGGACCCGGGTGCACCTGGACACCATCCAGGGACAGCTCAAGGAGTACCGAGTGAGCAAATCCCAAACTCCCCGGTCCCAAATCCCCACCCAGCACTGACCATTAACACAGCTAAGCCTCCCAAAATTCCCAGCTGGCTCCCGGGGGTGGCACAGCTGGATGTGGGGATGACAGAAAACTTCCTTTGGTCACCAGGAGCTTTTGGGTTTGGGGCAGCACCAAGGATTTGCTCTTTGGGGTGTCAGGATGGGGTTGGGGATGTCTCCTGCTGCTTCCTCTGGGCTTGGAAGAGGAAGTCAAGCAGGATTTGGGATGCTCCGAGAAAACAGGGAGGGATTGGGACACAGAGCAGAGGGGCTCTGAGGGAGTGACCCGAACCAGGTCAGGTTTTGTGTCATCCCCAAAATGCTGACAGCATTTTTTACTGATCAACAACCCTTGCAAAGCCTAAACCTGCGGTCAGGACTAACTGAGTGCTAAAGCCAGCGTGGATCCATGTTTTTCCAAATCTTTCCAGGTTTATATTTAATATTTATCTATCTTTCCAGGATTATGTCTAATATTTATACTTGCTGACGATGCACAGGGGATGGAGCCATTCAAACCGAGCCAAACCTGAGCAGGGCCCTTCCCTGGGTGTTAAAACATTCCCAAATCTTCATGTCCAGCAAAGAATCCCAGCGTTCCAAATCCAATCATCTGCTGGCTCCACTTTTCCCGATTCTGAGGGATTTTCTGAATGGATTCTCGTTTCTGCACGAAATAGGATTTACAGTCAGGAGCTCGAATGGGAGATTTCCCAAATTCAGGCTTTTATTTGTGCCTGAGTGTGTCCCAGCTTTCCTTCTCCATTGCGAGTGGAAAGGGAGAACCAGTCAGATTTTAATCCTTGGGAATCAGGAACAGCTTTAGTCTGAGCTCAGTGGTTTTGCTCAAAGTTCTGGGAAGTTCTTAACACACTTCTCAGCCTCAGGTAACACCCAGATTTTCCTCATGGAGCTTCACTAATTCCTCTAAAAACTCCCACGGCCTTGAGCCAACCTTAAAGGCAAAATTCTGCTTTTTTAACATCTAAAAACCCCAAAATCCACATTATTAAACGGGAAAAATCTTCACCTGGCCTGCCTATTTCTTGAAGGCCTATTTCTGGAGAGACAGCAGCTTGCTGAAGAACCTGTGGGTCTCCAAAAAACGGCAGTTTGTGAGTTTTCCTGGAGACCGCAACCGGGGCACCGTGTCCCGGCTGTTCCCTTACAGCAACTACAAGCTGGAGATGGTGGTCACCAACGGCCGAGGGGACGGGCCCCGCAGCGAAATGAAGGAATTCCCCACCCCTGAAGGAGGTACGTTCCCACAGGGAGCTTTTCCTGCTGGGAGAGGTTTGGGTGGAGCAGACCCAGGGAGCTGAGCCGCAGCTGAGGAGGGATTTTAGCTGAGCGTCACCTGCGCGCTGTCGCCGTCGGTGACGTCGCTGAAGGAACAGCTGGAGTTGGCTCCTGACCCCTTCAGCATTCCCAAAAATCCCTCAGTCAGGTGGTCTGGACACCCCAGCCAAGAAGATTTTGGGCTGAAGAAGAGAAATATTTGCCAAAGCCTTTCCTAGGCACAGCTCGATTTCCTGTCTGAGCTGTAAATGTCCCTGAGCCGCGGTTTGGGGACACGGCAGTGGTTGGATCCATCCTGGAAAAGGCAGGAAAAACTTCCCAGGACCTTCAGGAATCACTGCCAGGCTTTTAAGGCAAGAGCACCTCGTTCTTGTGTCAAGGATGAACTCAAGGGTTTAATTTTGTCGCTGGCACAGGAGCTATTTATAGACACGCCGATAATTCCGAGCTGGAGCCGCAATTCCAACACCTGGAAGTGACTTTTCCTACAGCACAGGAGGGAATTCAGGCACAGAAGGTCACAAAAACACAAGAAAATACTTGCAAGCCTTGCCCCAAAATATTTTGGGGTCTCTCCTTTTATCTTCCTTTCAGCGCTGTCTCTTCCTTCACAATTCCTTGGAAAAATCCCAATTTTTTGAGGATTTTCTGTGGATAATTGAGGTTGTTGCAGAAGAAAGGGTTCAATTCCTGTAGGTTTTGCAGGCAGGGGCATTTTGACCCTATTTCTGGGGGATTTGGGGTGGCTTTGGACATTTGGGGTGATGATAAGGACATGTGTGGGTGGCGTTAATTAATAATTACGGATTTGACTCTTACCAAGGGGAAAATGCGGATTTTATTTTTTCCTACACCACCAAGCCCTTCCATCGACTCAAACTGACATTGAGGAAGCAGAAGGATATCCTGAGCAACTAAAAATAAATCCCTGAGCTCTCCCATCTCTCTTCCCCCAATTAAGACACTGCAATTAGGAGGAAATCAGGAGAATAATTTAACTCCAGCCTGGATAATGCTTTCCTTCCTTCAGCAGTTAAAGCAACGATAATCCCAAACATTCCTTAGGGTGAGGAGTGGTGGGAAGCAGCTCCCTGGGGGAGATCTCTGGAATTCCATTTCCCAGCGATTTTTTGGGATAAGAGAAGACACTTTTGGAGGTTCTAAGAGAGAAATCTGTGGGATGAAAACTTTGGGATGGGAGGGGAGGGGTGTAAGGAAGGTAGGGAAATTTGTTTCCAACAGGTAGAAATGGGGCTGGAATTAAGATAAATTTTTGGGATACTTATCGTTCTTCTAAGGGAGAAATCCAAGGGATGAAAACTTTGGGATGGGAGGGGGGTGTCAGGAAGGTCGGGAAATTTGGGACCAAGAGAAGCGGAGCTGGAGCCAGAGAAGTTTTTGGGATATTCTTGTGCTTCTGAGAGAAATCTTCGGGATGGGTGGGGGGTGTCAGGAAGGTCAGGAGACTTGGGTCCAAGAGGAGAAGTAGGGCTGGAGTTTAGAGAAGATTTTGGGATACTTCTCATGTTTCTAATGGAGAAATTTTTGGGATGAAAACCTTGGGATGGGAGAGGGATGTAAGGAAAGCCACAAAGTTTGGGCCCAGCAGGAGAACTGGGGCTGGAGTTACATTCCAGATCTGCTTCTATGACTTCGCTGGAGGATCCCACGGGATTTTTTTGCCAAAAACACCACCTGGCTCCTGGTTTTTGGGATAAATCCTTTGTGATCCGTTCGGGGTGTGTCTGTGCGGGGAGTTTGGAGTGGCGGGTGCAGCAGCGCGAGGTTCATTACCCCGTGTGTGTTTTCTCCTCTCTCCCCTCTCCTCCCCGCTCCCCTCCAAGTGCCCAGCTCCCCCAGGTACCTGCGGATCCGACAGCCCAACCTGGAAATCATCAACCTGGAGTGGGATCACCCCGAGCATCCCAACGGGATCATCACGGGATACACCCTCCGATACCAACCCTGTACGTGCCACGTCTTCTTCCCGCTGATAAATCAGCAAATCCTTCCCTTCCTGCTTTTTGCCAGGGCAGGGAGATCCATGAGGAACTGGAGACTTCCATGGTGGGACAAACTGGTGTTGGGAGGGGTCCTGGTCATCTGCAGGGGGGTGGTGGGTGCTAGCAGCTCCCCAGACTCAATTTTTGAAAGGAAATCGGTTTTATCTCAGATTTAGGAAGATTTTAGGTGCAGCCTGAGACATTTTTGGTGCTCACCCAACACTAATTGGATGAGATACCCAGAGCCTGAATGACCCTGAGCCTTCTGTGCCCACCTGAATGTCCCCCCAGCAAGTCCCCAGGTGCCCCAAACAGCTCTGTGCCCCACAGTGACCCCACAGATCCTCTCCGGGGTGAGGCGACAAGCTGGAGACATCTGCACTTAATCAAGGAGGGGTTGAGTGCTCAGCAGTCCCCAGACTCCATTTTTGAGGGCAAATCAGCTGGATCATGGATTTAGGAAGATTTTAGGTGCAGCCAGAGTTGTTTTGGTGCTCATGCAAACACAAGATTTAGGAAGTGATACCCCAGAGCCTGGGGTGTCACCAAGTGCCCCAAGCTGGCCACACTCAGAGCAGCAACAGCTCTGAGCCCCTCAGTGACCCCACAACGACCCTCCAGAGGGGTGAGGGATGAACTGGACACCCCAAAATTCCTGCGCCAGGCTGAGCTTGGCCTGCTCCGCCTTCTCTCTGCAGTTAACGGGTCGCGGACGGGCCGGACGGTGGTGGAGAACCTGTCCCCCAACCAGACGAGGTTCACCCTGCAGAGGTCAGACCCCATCTCCCGCTATCGCTTCGTGCTCCGCGCCCGCACCCAGGTGGGAGAGGGAGAGGCCCTGGTGGAGGAGTCGCCGGCGCTGCTGGACGAAGGTAAGGGCAGCACCCGGCTCTGCCGAGGGGGCAGGATGTGTCAAACCCAAAAAATGGCATCGTGACAGGATGTGG